TTCATCCTCACATCTTTCCTTCCAATTCACAAAATGATAGTTTCTAAAATACCATTTTACTCGGGCAACATGTTAGTTTCATCCAGGCAGTCACAGTTCATAGCCAGCAGATCCGATGCCATAGAAGGGTTTAGGACTATGGCCCCAGGCTCCACACTCATCATTGAAGTCGCTTATAAGGGTGAGCTTGGTGCTGGTTTATACCTGGAACTTTTACCTGGGGTGAAAATAAATTGGGGTATCCACAAAGACACCTACACACGTTGCCGTATCGTTATACGATTGGGGAACTATCCACTGAGATTACTACCCCCCTTAATAGACTGCAATAGTGTTGATATATTTCAGAGTTTACCTATTGACCCTTCCTATATCTCCACATACGAGAATATAAGCCTTATAAGCCTCAAGTACATTGATCGGTTATTAACTGAAGCCCAATTAAAAAATATCTAATAAGATATATTATAGGCACACAGGATGGGTCTGTACCCAGTCGTAGAGGAAGTAGCGAAGACCCTGGAAACCATAGACGGGTTCCGTTTGAGACAGTTATGTGATGTAAAACGGCAACTAGAACAAGACCGCGACACGCGTAAAGCACTATGCAAGAAGTACCATAGAGCTTTCAATATCGTGGACGGGGCTGATACTGCCCTTATGACAACCAGCATGGGGCTGGGGGCGGCAGGTGTTGGGTTGTTAGCTACCATCGTGGCTACCCCCGTAGTGCTAGGCATTGAAATAACAGCTGGGGTGGTAGGGGTGTTAGGGTTGGCGCTTAAGTTTGCATCACGCAGACTGCATCGTAAAGCGTTGAAACATGACGAGATCAGGGTTCTGGCTGAAGCAAAGCTGAACACAGTAAGTGAGCGTATTTCCACGGCACTCACTGACAGTAAGATCTCAGAGGAGGAGTTTCGTTCAATCCTCTCTGAACTCACAAAATATAATAAAATGAAACAAGAGATTCGATCCAAGTCTCATAAGTCTGCTATCAGTGAAGACAAGAAAAAAAAGTACATAGAAGAAGGGGTGAAAAAATCCCAGCAAGCCTTTATCACAAACACCAAAGCGATTATAGGCGATTCACATTAAACTGTTTCATCGAGGTCAACACGGCATAGCGGCACAATAGTGCCATAGCGGCACGTTAGACGCAGCCCAGCATTGGATGATACAATCCCAGGATAGACCCGTTAAACCGACATTCCTCAGCCATGTCCCGGTAGCTCAGTCAGTTAAGTGGTGCGGCTGTGCGATATAACATTAGGCGTTCGTATCCCGCTGGCGTCTCAACTTTTTATAAGATCGGGAAAGCAGTAGGGGTAATGATAGCTGGATCAAGGGTCCGACCAAAGCCTTATTTCACAAACAAGGCTTTGCAGAGGCTTTTGTTGGACCTGGTCCAAAACCCCCATTCCCTATACTACTGAACCATTTCAGAAACTTCATCGTTTTTACAGATTCACTGTCTTGCCTTCAAGCACTTCATAATGTTACTTCAAGCAGGGATACTCTACAACAGGGATAGGTCACTCGCTTGCTTTCTTTACCATTTGTACTAATTAACGTGTGCCTCGTCATACTCCAACGCACACAGTGACTTGGTTCGGTCCCAGCGCAACTTCGGCTGCGTTTAACAGTACTTCAGCCAGTGTATTGTATCAGTCGGAATTTTACAATGAATGAATGAATGAATGAATGAATGAATGAATTAAGAGCAAGAAGTTTATGTGAATGAATGAAAGAATAAATGATACACCACGGCCATCCCTCCCCAAACATGTTAAAGAACGCAAAACTATCGGTAGAACACATATATAACATCAGCTGTCCTTTTTAAAAAATAAATTACTTTGAGACATGTTTTTACATAAGTAACTAATTCAGATATCTCATTGCATGTGTGGAATGACATGGGCATTGACAGAATGTTAACTGACACTGTCACAGACCCCTTAAGAACAGAAAGTTTAGAACTATCACAAAGCGTTGTAAACACCTTTCCAGTTTTGTCAAATACTAAGATCAACAAGAAAGAAAGAAGTTTTAGAACTATAACACTCAAGCATCACAAGCACCAATGGCGATATGTCATATTTTTCACACACCTCAAATACACACTAACAAAAACCAAAAAAAATAAAAAGTATCACTATTACTTGCAAACACCTTTCACCTGATGGTATATTCCCCTCATAAAAATTAAAGGAGTATGTGAAAGATGTTTTTGAACACTAACTAGAAACACTCAAACAACGCCCTGTAGTATTTCAATGGCAGATCGGCGATATGTCATATTTTTCACACACCTCAAATACACACTAACAATTTTTTTAAAATTATAAAACTATCACTATTACTTGCAAACACCTTTCACCTGATGGTATATTCCCCTCATAAAAATGAAAGGTGTATGTGAAAGATGTTTTTGAACACTAACTAGAAACACTCAAACAACGCCCTGTAGTATTTCAATGGCAGATCGGCGATATGTCATATTTTTCACACACCTCAAATACACACTAACAATTTTTTTTAAATTATAAAACTATCACTATTACTTGCAAACACCTTTCACCTGATAGTATATTCCACTCATAAAAATTGAAGGTGTATGTGAAAGATGTTTTTGAACACTAACTAGAAACACTCAAACAACGCCCTGTAGTATTTCAATGGCAGATCGGCGATATGTCATATTTTTCACACACTTCAAATACACACTAACAATTTTTTTTAAATTATAAAACTATCACTATTACTTGCAAACACCTTTCACCTGATAGTATATTCCCCTCATAAAAATTAAAGGTGTATGTGAAAGATGTTTTTGAACACTAACTAGAAACACTCAAACAACGCCCTGTAGTATTTCAATGGCAGATCGGCGATATGTCATATTTTTCACACACCTCAAATACACCCTAACAAATTTTTTAGTTATAAAACTATCACTATTACTTGCAAACACCTTTCAACTAAAGGTATATTTCCCTTCTAAAAATTAAACGAATATGTGAAAGAAGTTTTTAGCGATATAATTTAGTCTTTCTTCGCTGTGTACTGAGAATTGAAGCCAGTGAGCTACAACATGCCCACTTGAAACTTTACTACAAAGCTACTGTACTTATACTGACACTAATAACAATTATTTGACTTGAAATGAAGTGACAGAATAGGTAACTTATCTTCTACATGTAGGTTTTCAGTTGTCACAACACTCAGCGTATGTAATCAGCTGTTGAAAATAAACCGGGCTCAATCTTAAAAACTACGCTGTCGCCATATTGGCTACACTGGTCACGTGACGAGCAGAGGCATAGCTTAGGAGCTTTCCGAGGAGTGACCACTCCCCCTTATAGAGTCTCCCTGCTTCAAGTCACCCTATCATCCTGGACATTTTAGAACTTTACAGCGACCTCTCTACTGGCCAATGTGACAACGTCCTCTGCTGGTTGCCGGGTCACGTCGGCATAGCAGGTAACACAAAGGCCGATGCTGAAGCTAAAGCAGCTGTTGAAAAGCCATTATCTCCACTGCTGATCCCGTACAGTGACTTCAAACCCACTATCAAAAGTTATACTCGGGGCCTGATGCAAATAAGGTGGGACACCCAATGTGGAAGAAATAAACTTCATGAATTGAAACCAACAATTGATTATACCTACTTGGGTTGTCAGTCAAGACGTGATGAGGTAATTTTACGACGATGTCGATGTCGTATTGGCCACAGTCGGTTTACTCATGACTTTCTGTTGAAAACGGATGGGGATGGACCTCCCATGTGTGTCTCTTGTGATGAAGTGTTCACCATCAAGCATATTCTGCTTGACTGTGTGCACTTTTCGACTGCAGGGGATGCACATTATGATGCAACGAATCTGAAAGATCTGTTTTCCCGCGTGAGCGGGCATCTGATTGTAAACCACCTGAGGGAAGTTGATCTGTATCATAAATTGTAACTTTGTAAGAGAATAACGAATTGCTTGCTTTTGTATTTGGTGTTATGACATTTTCTGTTTTTAAATAGAAATGTAATGAATATATATGTTTTTAAAATATAACTCTTTTGGATCTTGGACTTAAAATGATAATGAATGGAAACTTGATCTCGTCACTATATGGCTGGAATAATGCCGATGTGACGTAAAGCCGAACTCAACTCAAGTCAACTCAACCCATCAAGTTAAAAAATCAAAACTACTTTCTACTCGTAGTTAAATATTTATTTGAATCATGACCAAAAGGAATTTGCATGACACAACTTGTAACATAACGATTTCTTCCACAGAAGCGAGGGTTGTGGGGTGTGTGTGTGTGTGTGTGTGTCGAAGTGACAATATTGCGAGATAAATTTCTTGCTATATTCACGTGGTTAACGTCCACTCACCACTATGTAGATACTTGTCGATCTTCTTCCTGTAACTGTGATGAGCGTGGCTGATCATCATTTTCACTATCACTAGCGTCTGGCTGAACAAATAAGGCCTAGCGATTGTTTCTTTGTTGAAGATTGAATGGAAAGATTGTCTCTCTCTGAATTACTTCCGGACATATCAGAGTCTGCTATATACCGAAATGCCAACCCACAGAATTAACCATATTTATATCACTTGACATAAATGGTTTAACACCCGAGTAATTTGTGGAACAAAAGCCAGACCTATACAGGTAACCGTTATGACAACACGCGATTTAAACAGAATAGACTATGTAACTCGTAAGCTAGGCATAACAGATGAGAAGATTAAATGACAGTAGATTGTGAAAACATAAAGCTTTCATTTTTCCCAACAATTGTCAGGATTTCAGGTTTATGCAAACCTGTAAACAAGATAATTTAGCCCCGGAAATGTGCATGAATTCTACAGCACCCCTCACATGCATACCTCATATTATGTCATGGCGGCGCGCTCCTCTGATTGGTTGAAATTTCGTTCGCGGGAGAGAATTGTGCACTGTTGTCAAAAAGGTTGACTTGAGTAAATTAAATGTCGAAATGAGTAGTTTTAGTGACGGGGTTTCATTTATAACGATGCCAATAAATGATTTAGGTATTTGTACCCCTCTTGAGTGTATGTGATCTTTAATAATGTAAAGAAATCCAGGAGCAAACCCCAGACCTCAACCCAATTAAGCATGCCTGGGATGAACTCGATCGACGTGTGTACACACGTCATCCAACACCAGTGGTTCTCCCAGAACTCCGCAGAGCTCTAGTAGAGGAATGGAATGCGATTCCGCAAGTTTTCTTCATGAACTTGGTAAGGAGCATGAGAACAAGGGGTACCTGCATCTTGGACGCGCGAGGAGGGTACACAAGATGTTGAATGACCGAGTGGTACATGTTTGTCAGTTTCATTTTGGAGGTTGGTCTATATACCTGATGTTTGCTAGTGCTGTTTGAAATCTTTCTCTGTCACGATGAGTCAACACATTAAACCTTATGATGGCACTCTTAGTTCTATTATTTCTGAGAAACCTTTGTTTACATGTGCCATTTGACCCTTCAATAATGACGCCTAGTATATTTTCAGAACACAGTTCTTAAAATGCATGACAGTACCTTGCAGTACCTTGTGGACATTTCACATGCAATGAACAGTACCATCGTTATTCAAACAAACCGGTGCTTGCTGTGTGAGACAAGAGGACAAATACATTTGCAAATTTCTTTGAAAGGGGTCCACAAGAGAACATAGCTTAGTTTGAAGGTGAGTCGGCGAGAGTAAATAATATTCGAGTAATTGTGATCTTGAGGAATAGTTTCAAACAACACTTGTGACACTTTTATGGTGAGGAGCAGCTGATACATTCACTTTTACGGAATCACCTAAGTTGTTCACAACGATACCACCATACACGTGTGAGGTTCAGGTTTGTACGTGACAGAAAGCAGTTGAAGAAAACTCGGAGAACAATAGCTAGTTTAGGTCATTAACTGCAGAGGCTTGTAATGATTAGGATGGTTATGCTGATACTTTTCAAGAGTTGAATCCGTTCGTTACTTAAATATGGCCAACCGAGACGATAATAATATTTGTCTCCTACAGGCATAGGGCATAAATAACAAATTCTGTTACTGGCTGGATTTCACCTCACTTTTATATACTGGGTACAAAAATAGCTTGTGGCGAGGATTTTATACAATGGAGCAAATATAGAAGCATCATGGATTAAGTATTAATTTACACAGAAGATGCATGTGTTACATTATAAAATACACCTTTGGATGCAGTTATACTGAAGATAACTAAAAATGTTCTTCGTATCTTGATCTAATTACGGATCTCTCAAACTACCGTATGCAAGACAAAGCTGATCACAGTCAAACATTCATCGGTTTTGGTCACTCTCAGTTGAAGCGGAATACTGCAAGTCACGGCTAGTCACTACCAGGTGAAGCTGATTACTGACGGTCACGGCTAGTCACTACCAGGTGAAGCTGGTCACTGCCAGTCACGGCTAGTCACTACCAGGTGAAGCTGATTACTGCCAGTAACGGCTAGTCACTACCAGGTGTAGCTGATTACTGCCAGTAACGGCTAGTCACTACCAGGCGAAGCTGATCACTGCCAGTGACGGCTAGTCACTACCAGGCGAAGCTGATCACTGCCAGTGACGGCTAGTCACTACCAGACGAAGCTGATTACTGCCAGTCACGCCTAGTCACTCAGTTGAAGCTGATTACTGCCAGTCACGGCTAGTAACTAACAGGTGACATTGTTTACTGCCAGTCACGGCTAGTCACTACCAGGTGAAGCTGATTACTGCCAGTCACGGCTAGTCACTACCAGGTGAAGCTGATTACTATCAGTCACGGCTAGTCACTAACAGGTGAAACTGTTTACTGCCAGTCACGGCTTGTTACTACCAGGTGAAACTAATTACTGCCAGTCACGGCTAGTCATTACCAGGTTAAACTGATTACTGCCTGTCACGGCTAGTCACTACCAGGTGAAACTGATTACTGCCAGTCACGGCTAGTCACTACCAGGTGAAACTGATTATTGCTAGTCACGGCTAGTCACTACCAGGAGAAATTGATTACTACGAGTCACAGCTAGTCACTACCAGGTGAAACTGATTACTGCCAGTCACGGCTAGTAACTAACAGGTGAAACTGTTTACTGCCTGTCACGGCTTGTGACTACCAGGTGAAGCTGATTACTACCAGTCACGGCTAGTCACTAACAGGTGAAACTGTTTACTGCCTGTCACGGCTTGTGACTACCAGGTGAAGCTGATTACTGCCAGTCGCGGCTAGTCACTACCAGGTGAAGCTGATTACTGCCAGTCACGGCTTGTCACTACCAGGTGAAGTTGATTACTGCCAGTCACGACTAGTCACTCTCAGTTGAAGCGGAAAAGTGCAAGTAACGGCTTGTCACTACCAGGTGAAACTGATTACTGCCTGTCGCGGCTAGTCACTCTCAGCTAAAGCTGATTATTGCCAGTCACGGCAAGTCACTTCTAGGTGAAGCTGATTACTGCCAGTCACGGCTTGTCACTACCAGGTTAAACTGATTACTGCCAGTCACGGCTAGTCACTACCAGGAGAAACTGATTACTGCCAGTGACGGCTAGTCACTACCAGGTGAAGCTGATTACTGTCAGTCATGGCTTGTCACTACTAGGTGAAGCTGATTACTGCCAGTAACGGGTAGTCACTACCAGGTGAAGGTGAATACTGCCAGTCACGGCTTGTCACTACCAGGTGGAGCTGATTACTGCCAGTCACGGCTTGTCACTACCAGGTGGAGCTGATTACTGCCAGTCACGGCTAGTCACTACCAGGTGAAGCTGATTACTGCCAGTCACGGCTAGTCACTCTCAGTTGAAGCTGATTACTGCCAGTCACGGCTTGTCACTACCAGGTGAAACTGATTACTGCCAGTCACGGCTAGTCACTCTCAGTTGAAGCTGATTACTGCCAGTCACGGCTAGTCACTACCAGGTGAAACTGATTACGTTAAATGTTAACTCACTCACCCACTCGTAATATATGTTGCCTCCTGTTACATGGCTATGAAAGTGATCGTTGCCCAAGGGATCCTCATGAACTTCCCTCTGAGTACAATGTGCGTGGTCCGGGATGCAGATTATAGATCGATAGATCGACTTTGGTACTGACTAGCGTACCTAGTTGGTTGCTTGTTATTTAGGAGTATTAGGTTATTTTGTCGATACAGTCGGCTATGAGTTATCCGTTTTGATCTTGCTTGTCGTTTACACCCCAGGAGGGACGGTGGGTGTTGAAATCCTCAAGTAGATAGTGGAATATGTCCCTAGCCACTTGATGATCTCCATGTCCTCATGCTTTGTGGGTTTATTTTCACCATATTGACAAATTATATCATTGGTATGTTGATGGGAGGCATGAATATTGTATATCATCCATCCATCTTTCTCACTTCACCACACTGACAAATCAAACCATGGCTTTGTCTCTGGGACGTATGAATACTGTATACCATCCATAGGTTGAACAAGTAAATGAGAGCGATGTCAGCTTTAATTTGTATGCCACCCTGAGGAGTGTTTTTATACTGGAGCTGGGGTATGTTTGCATGTGGTTGTATGGCAGGAGGGGATACGGAGAAAACGGACCCCAGCGAAAACGGACCCGAAAATATCGAGAAAAACGGCCACCGCGCGCGCTGGAGAGAACGGCCTCCGGACCAAGACAAAACGGCCTCTGTGCCTAGAGAAAACGGCCAACATAGTTGCACCAAGATCAACGGATTTTATATGATTATATATATCCTAAATAATAAAGATTTACGTCATTGCGGATAAGATTTTAAAAAGTGATTGGTTGTTTTTTTTTAGTTTCGATATCCATAGCGGTTTAACCTATGAAGATTGATTGATTGTCTCGATAGTTCCGCTGAACAAACCAATTTGACTGATTGTACAGTTTACATGTAAGATTAGTTGATAAGGTAGTGTTTATATTGACTAGCGGATTAGTAGTAATAATTCCAAATTTTGTACTTGTAGATCTGCCATGGTCCCTAGTATTGTGATCTACCTTCAGCTGTTGGTAATCTATCTGTTTTTTATATTGTATTGTCATCTAATTTTAAATTTATATCTGCGATAAACTAGTTGTTTTACTGTCCTTCGGTGACAGGTGTTTAATTATCACGAAAATATAATTTGTTTTTAGTCACGAGGCTGATCTCCTTGTCTTGATACTAAATCTGAAGTGTAAGTCAACCTGAACGTTTGCCATGGTGAATAAATGCACTAGACCACAGTACAACATTATATACATGTACAGATTGTGTCGAAGACGAGTTTCATGTACATGTGTCTGTCCGTCTGTAGTTCACTTAAAGTGATGTCACAACAAAATTAAAATTAATGTCTATCGGTGTCATGGTAGACTCAGCAGGCTAATTAGGTGAGCTAATTCTCCAGCTTGTTGGACCATATCTCACAGGGATGAACAGTATTTGCACAATCAAGCAAGCATAACTGTTTATCCCCCTAAGCTGCTGGGTGAACGAGAAGACCCCGATCAAGATATCCAATCACCCCACTACTTCCTGTGTACCGACTGACGTGAGAGTGAGAAAACAGGTTAATAAAAGAATTGATAGACCATCTTATCTAATACTTTCACCGCCAGCCTGAGGGTTGTATCCCATAACCCCTACATGCCACTACCCCTACAGCCCAGTACCCCCTACAATTAGTTAAAACAACACACGGCATTTACCTGTCTGGCATAATGAACTGACCCAAAGAGAGATTAGTGCATAGAGTATACAGATGAGATCAAGGGAGGGATTAAACTGTTCTTTAGTCTTTGTGTCAAGGAAATTTGGGATTAGCTAAAAGTTGTTTTAGTTTCATGATGAAAGATAAACCTCTAGTGAGTAGAACAATTTTACAAATTGGATAATGTGTAGGTTGTTAAATGTTGAAATTAAGTTGTTTTAGTGCCATGATAAAAGATACACAGTATTATTGAGAAGTGGAGGGAAATGAGAAGGTGAGACGAGAAAGTAAATTGAGATAGTTCGGTATAGTATATAGCTGTTGACAACAAACTAACATGGCATCAACATGGCATCAACATGGCTGGTCTGCGTAATGTTGAGTTAGTTATGTCACGGAGAGGTAGCCCCCAAGTCCTATTTGACGGTTATCTTCACACTAAGAATGTCGAGAGACAGTCTTGTGTACACTGGAAGTGTGTTCAGTCAACATGCAGAGGAAGAGTCACAACTGTTGGCAATGTTGTAAGGAATACGACAGAACATAAGCACCCACCAGAGGATAGTCAGAAGGTCCGGTTTGTCAGCAACCTGAGGAAGAGAGCCAGGGAGGAGTCAACACAGATGCGCACCATCTACAACGACGAGCTCACCAACCTGACCAATGATGAGACACGCACGATGCCATCCTTTCCATCCATGTGCAGCGCCCTGTACCGCCACCGCCAGAAGACGATTCCTGTTTTACCACAGACGAGATCAGAAGTCGACCTTCAAGATCCCTGGACGCAGACAGCGGATGGTCGACCATTCCTCCTGTTTGCTGACGGCGATGATGACAAGATCCTGGCATTTGGCACCCAAGAGAGTATTCAGGCCTTGCAGTCAGCCGAGAACATCTACATGGATGGAACATTCACTGCCTGCCCTGCACTATGGAATCAAGTCTACATCATACATGCCAGACGTGGGACCACCACATATCCCTCATCTTCGCCTTACTTCCCGACCGCCAACAAATGATGATCATTTTTCATTAAAATCATTCTCTCAACCTTTTAGTTGTGTTGTTATGTCTCTTAAGTGGATTAGTCCATTGTGTGGAATAGGTAACAGGCAGTGGATTAACAGTGCAACAGGCCGTAAACTATGTTGTTATTAGCTGTAGGGGTAGTGGCATGTAGGGGTAATGGGGGGTTACCAGCCTGAGTAATGATAACATTTTCTCGTGTTTATTCAATAATTAAAGGGCCACTGATCCAGAGCGATTATTGTTTCCAGCCAACAGTCTAATTACGAAACTTAGCTGCAAACTGGTCAGCCTCTGCTCCCTCGACCGTGACGGACACGGGGACTGGGCTACTGTCCACCCTGGCAGAATTTCTTCAACCTAATCAGTGGGACATTAGGAAGGGTGGATGCCCATCAGATGCCGTTATTTGAAAATATCCCCGGTAGTTCTTGTCTGATTGTAATAAAGTATCCCAGCAGTGTAGGCTTTTACAGATTTTCAAACGTTTCGATGGTATAGTGACTGGTCCAATTTGATCCTATTTCTGTGTTTTTTACCTCGATATTTAATCATGTAAAAATATGATGTCTATTACGTATGCTATGATATCAAAAAGACACATTCGATATATTTGAATCCATAAACTAAACAACCCCACTTTGCCATTGCAAAAACAATCTGAAATTTTACTTAGGTACATAGGTATATAGTTTTTAACTAAGTACACATCAAATGCTTATATATATTTCTTATGTAACAATGAAGTTTTGTTCGTATCCACAAAACAGTGTCTGCCCATAAGTGTTTTTTTTCAGGCAATCAAACTTGCATGCAATACAGCGATTACTACTCTCTTGCTGTAACCCTTGTTTGGTGGTAAACCTACACATGTTATTTGTCATCATTCACTTGATGGTCAGTTAATGAATTTATAACAGGTATAATTAGATTACCCGACAAAAGTTCCCATTTTGCATTTCTTGTGTCTGGAGTATATACTCATCATTATAAATTGAGGTCTCATGTGGCAAATGTATTACATCTTATGTAATATTCGCAGGGAAGTGCAGTAAGAGGAATTATCAGCTGAGTTACAAAACATCGATCAAAGGATTGACGGCTGAAGGGTTGGTGTAAATCCAGCTAGGACCCACGCAGGAGGAAAATGTACTGTAAGTCCCCATGGTCCCTAGTATGGTGATCTACCTTCAGTTGTTGGCAATCTATAGCCTGTTTTTATATTGTATTGTCCACATAGTGCTATTACTTTTAACTTTCCACACTAGTTTTAATTGTAATTGTCATATACTAGTTGATTTACTGTCCTTTGACGACAGGTTCTTTATAATATACACATATTCCATTTCAATGTAAAACATGTTCTCGTCCCGATATGGCTGAAATATTGCCGATGTGACGTTAAATATTAACTCACTCACTCACTCCTGGCTATCAGGGAATGCTTTGTGCTCTAGAGGTGTTGATGCAAATGCAACTGGATGTGCCAGTCGGAGCTGGTCACAACCAACTGAAACTGATTAGTGTCAATAGAAGCTGATTTCTGCAAATTAGGGTCGAACGCTTTCTCTCGGTGTTACATCACTGTCAAGCGGGTAAACTATGGGTATAGTGTACTTGTCTTTTCATCATGCCCAGTTGCATCGAAAGTGAAATTGCTTCGTGATAGTGACTAGAGCTTGCGTTTTTGTTTGCAGTTATTTAAACACTGGTTGTATTTACTGGAATCCATTTATTACAAAAGAGCATGTTTTCACTTTGGGTGAGGTGAAATTGGGTTTAACGTCGAACTTGAGAATATTTCGCTCATATGACGACGTGCATGCGTGTGTATGTGTATGCGGCTGCTTGTACTAGCCCAGACTGAAGCTGGTTTTATAGTGCTAGCCCACTGAGATACCATGCGGCAGTGAAACATGAATATCCCACTCAGACACATTATACTGACTCCGAGCCGACCAGTCCTTGTTATACCCATTAATGCCGAGCGCCAGACAGGGACCAACAAGTACCATATTTTAACGTCTTTTGGTATGACGCGGTCGGGCATTGAACCCGCGACCTTCCGCTCTCCGGGCGGACGCTCTAACCACTACACCACGAAGGCGGTTTTCACTTTGGAGACAAAATATTTATAATAGGAAGATAATTGTTTAACAGTTATAGACCATCACTTTGCACTATGTTTAAATGACACAGGACTGTTAATGCCCCCATTAGCCTAACAATGGAAGGAGATCATACATTTCTTTGATTTTTGTTTTCTTTGCTATCATTGCCGCTGTATCTCCATACTTGTCTTTAGCATTAACATCAACAATAGTTTTAGAAAGAATATGCTTCACCATCATCACATTTCCTTTCAAACTGGCGAGATGTAGGATGTTGTCACCTTCCACAAGTAAAGCATCACCTCCTTCACTCATTACTAAGTCAAACACTTTTCTGTGTCCCCTAACTGCTGCTACCATCATTGGTGTTTTTCCACAATGTGCTTTGCTGTTGATATCAGTAATGTTCAGTGAAATGACACACTTAGCCATCTCTACGTGTCCTCCATGACACACCGAATTACTGTAGGATGTTGGCACCATTCTTGTCCACAAGTGAAGCATCACCTCCTTCACTCATTACAAAGTCAAACACTTTTCTGTGTCCCTCGGTTGCTGCTACCATCATTGGTGTTTTTCCACAATGTGCTTTGCTGTTGATATCAGTAACGTTCAGTGAGGTGACATACTTCGCCATCTCTACGTGTCCTCCATGACACACCCAATGTAGGATGTTGTCACCATCCTTGTCCACAAGTGAAGCATCACCTCCTTCACTCATTACTAAGTCAAACACTTTTCTGTGTCCCTCGGTTGCTGCTACCATCAATGGTGTCCTTCCGTAATGTCCTCTGCTGTTGATATTGGCAAAGTTCTGTGAGATGACATACTTCACCATCTCTACGTGTCCTCCATGACACAACCAATGATGTTGTCATCATTCTTGCAAGGGAAGTTCACTTTTCTGAGATGCTACCATCATTGGTTCACCATGTGTTTTCTTTAACGTTCCATACTTCACCATCTCTACGTGTCCTCCATGACACGACCAATGTAAGATCTTGTCATCATTCTTGTCTTCAAGGGAAACATCACCTCCTTCACTCAGTATTAAGTCAAACACCTTTCTATGTCCCTTGGTTGCTGCTACCATCAATGGTGTCCTTCCGTAATGTCCTCTGCTGTTGATATCGGCAAAGTTCAGTGAGATGACATACTTTACCATCTGTACGTGTCCTCCACGACACACCCAATGTAGGATGTTGTCACCATACTTGTCAACAAGTGAAGCATCACCTCCTTCACTCAGTATTAAGTCAAACATCTCTGTATGTCCCTCGAATGCTGCAAACATTAAACATTCCTCTGCTGTTGATATTCACAAGTCTCTGTGCGAGTACATGCTTCACCATCCTAATAAGTCCTCCAAGAATGGCCACGTGAAGAACGTTGTTGCCTTGAGAATCAACTGCCGACAAATTACAACCTGCACATGCACATAAGTCAAATATGTTTGTGTATCCCAAATGTGCTGCGACCATCCCGACTGTTCTAGCGTCACGTCCTTTGCTATTTACGTCCACAATGTCCTGTGAGATAATATACTTCACCATCTCCACGTTTCCTCCTCTACAGGCTATATGAAGAATGTTGTCACCGGCTTTATCTAACAGGGACTCATCACCTTCCTTATTGACAAGGTATTTTAAGAGGTCCATTTTCCCCCGGTGTGCCACTACCATCACGCTCGTCCTCCCGTAATGTTCTCTACTGTTGATGTCCACAATGTCAAGCGAGAGAACAAGTTCACAGTCGCAATTTGTCCTCCATAGCAGGCCATATGAATGTTGTTGTCGTTATTATCAAGAATGGACATGTTACATGGTTTTCTTACTAGAATCTCAAACACACCTCTATGTCCCCCTCGTGCTGCCAACATCACTGGCGTCCTCCCGTGCTCTCCCTCTCTGCTGTCAATGTCGACTTGACCCTTAGACATGATTGTCCGCACTCGACTTAAGTCACCCTCTCTACAATCTTCATGAAGTAGGTTGTCTCCGGATCCGCTCTTCTTATCTCTTCTCTGTTGTTGGAATCTCCAAGGATAAAGCGTCCTTCCACCTGTAGTTTAATGAAATGACATAAGGGAGGGCACATCTTTGTTTAAAGCATCGTTTTGATTATGTAATCTGTGGTTAGACATTTTTCAGGACAGTTATTGAACAGTAAATATGCATGTTTAAATATGCTTGTAAACTTTAATTCCAAATATATATACTAGGCACAAGAAATATGGGAACCCCCAAGTGAAATTTATAGTTGAAACAATGCTACATAAAAGTTGCAAGCTGATTGCATTCGAACCAAAATCGGAAATCACTTACGGCTGACACGACAGTCAGCACCATGTTACCTTTTACATGATACACGTGCATCATGCACCACACGTGCGTTCTAGCCTATAAAACTGACAGTAAGCGTTCCCCAATATCTCTTGTGAAAATGCCACCTCGACAGTACCTGACAAACGCACAGAAATGGTAGGCCATTGGCATGATAAAGGGTGGACAATCTCAGAATAGTGTTGCCCGGTTCTTCAGGAAGTCCAAAAGTGTCATTTCCTGTCTCATCAACCTTTACCGTCAGACAAGGGGCGTTAAAATGAGGACCGGTCGAGGAAGACGCCCTAAAACCACCCCCAGGCAAAGCAACATCCTGAGAGCTATAGCTCTGAGGAATCGATTTGTCACAGCCCCGGATTTGAAGATGGAATTCTTCAGTGTCACAGGAACACGGATTTCGAACTCTACTGTACGAAACAGGCTCTGTAGCAGAGTTCTTAAGTCAAGACGTCCATTCAAAGGCGTGACGATGACAGCTAACCGCAGACGTCTTTGTTATCGGTGGGCTCAGCAACGTCAGAGGTGGGGGAACCGACAATGGCGACATGTGATGTTTAGTGATGAATCCTGCCTTTGTTTGCGATTCACGGATGGACGATTGCGTGTGTGGCGACGCCTAGGAGAGCGTTATGGGAGACCCACGGTGCAGGAACACGATTCTTATAGAGGCGGCTCTATCATGGTCCGGGGAGGAATTTCTTTCAATAGGGGGACTGATTTGATTCTTGTACGGGGTAATTTGACAGGCCAGCGGTATATGGACGAGGTCTTACGGCCACACGTGGTTCCAATGGCTCACAGGGCTGGTCGAAGATTTGTGTTTCAGGACGATAATGCACGTCCTCACAGAGCTCGTGTTGCCGTGAACTTCTTGCAACAACAAGGTGTTACAACTTTACCCTGGCCGGCTAAAACACCAGATCTATCCCCTATCAAACATCTGTGGGATGTGTTAGGGCATCGAGTGCGTCTCAGGGAGCCTGCACCATCACATCTTGATGTGTTAGGCAGAGCACTGCAGCAAGACTGGCACGTGATTCCAAGGGCGACAATTCAGCGGTTGGTGTCCAGCATGCCTGCAAGGTGTCGTGCATGCATTGCTGCTCATGGTGGACACAATCGTTATGAAGTATATCTGACATACTTACCGTACGGTTGTGCTGATTAAATTATACATGCTTCACAAAGTCAAGGGGTTCCTTTATTTTTGTGCCTAGTATATTTCTAAATACGGTATAAGAATCGCAAATTTCGTGAATATGCACTTTCCAGCTACAATAATTCCCAAAACAGAATGACCTTAAAATATATCTCAAACGGTGTCGTGCCGGGAAGGCTAAAAATTTATTTTCAGATGTCCCGGGAAGGCTAAAATGTATATTTCGGATTTCCCGGGAGAGCTAATTTCCAAGGGAGTATGGGAGTACCGCCAAAGCTAAAGATACGGTGCCGGGAAGCATAATCCATGTCGGGAGTAGATTTGGGGGGTTTAACGTTGGCTTCTGGCTAAGCCAATATCGCGATTTATTTTTGAAACATTAGAATCTTTACATAAGTGGCGATTGTATTTCAGATGTATTTCATGTCACTAGGCATAATCCATGGGTAGATAGATTTCTTTTCAAATCATTGTTATAATCTTCGCTTGTTTACGGTTCGGGTTCCCGAAAGGGGTACGTACTCTACTTTAGATAATATTTTTGTTTTTAATGGATTAATTGATATGCTTAGATCTAAGAAGAAAAAGTTATATAGTGTTTTTATAGACTTTCAAAAAGCCTTTGATAATGTCTGGCGTCTGAGACTTTGGTAAAAAAATGTTAAACACGGAATTACTGGAGTAAGTTTTAAAGGCTATTCATAATAATTATGATAATACCAAGTGTTTCAACAGGTGGAAATGACTCTACCTATTTTGACTGTTGTTAAGGCGTACGCCAGGGAGAAAATTTATCACCTCTCCTTTTTGCACTGTTTATTAATGACGTTAAATCATATCTAGCGACTAATGCCTGTGATGATGTAGAAATTGATGATATATTTTGATTTTTTGAGATTTTTGTACTGATGTATGCTGATGACATGGTCTCAATTGCTGAAAGTCCGGATGAGTTACAGCATAGTATTAATATTGTGTGAAGTGGAAGTTAATGGTTCGATCTGTTCGTGTAGCGAAGTAAGATAGATGTATGGATGGCATACTGTATTCATACCTCCCATCAACAAGGCAATATATGGTTTGATCTGTTCGTGTGGCGAAGTAAGATAGATGTATGGACAGTATACAGTATTCGTTCCTGCCATCAACATAGCAATGGCTTTGACTTGTCAGTGTTGCGAAGTCAGATAGATGTGTGGATTGTATACAATATTTATACCTCCCATCAACAAGCAATGGTTTGATTTTGTAGAGTGGTGAAGTGAGAAATAAGGATGGATTGCATACAGTATTCATGCTTCCTGTAGAACATTCAGTCAGAAGATGGAGTATTTTCCCGATGGTCTGGATATGATGATAACAGGAATTTCAGTATACAGTATTCATGCCCCCATAAACATAGCAATGGTTTGATCTGTTCGTGTGGCGAAGTGACAAAGATGTATAGATTGTATATAGTATTCATGCCTCCCATCAACATAGTGATGGTTTGATTTTCCAGTGTTGTGAAGTGAGGAGAAATATGTTTGGATGTATACAGTATTCATGCCTCCCGTCAACATTGCAGTGGTTTGATTTTTCAGTGTGGGGAAGTGAGATAAATGGATGGATGGCAGACAGTATTCATACCTCCAATCAACATAGCAATCGTTCACTCCCAAAGTAATATTCCCCCTACCTTATAAGACATCAGTAAGACTCGACCGAGTCAAATTGTCACGGTATTGCCAGCCGAGGCTTGATTATATATGTCAAGGAGGACAGCCGCCACAAAGCGATTATATATGTCAAGGAGGAGTGGTATCCAAATACAAAGCGATAAAATTGTGATTACCATTGGAAACTAACCTAGAAACCCGAGTGAGATATCCAGCGGCTAACAAACCAAAATAAATCATTATGGGTGTAAACGACAGCGGTCACTTTACAACCAACCAAATATCCGTATAACAGTAGGCAAAAGATAAATTACATGCGGAACCCAGAGTCAGGATTCATCACTAAACATAACATGTCGCCATTGCCGGTTTCCCCCTCTTCTAACATTGCAGAGCCCACTGAAAACGAAGACGTCTGCGGTTAGCTGTCATCGTCACGCCTTTGAATGGACGTCTTGACTTAAGACCTCTGCTACAGAGCCTGTTTCGTACAATAGAGTTCGAAATCCGTGTTCCTGTGACACTGAAGAATTCCATCTTCAAATCCGGGGCTGTGACAAATCGATTCCTCAGAGCTATAGCTCTCAGGATGTTGCTTTGCCTGGGGGTGTTTTTTTCAGGTACTGTCGAGGTGGCATTTTCACAAGAGATATTGGGGAACGCTTACTGTCAGCTTTATAGGCTAGAATGCACTTGTGGTGCATGATGCACGTGTTTCATGTAAAGGTAACATGGTGCTGACTGTCGTGTCAGCCGTAAGTGATTTCCGATTTTGGTTCGAATGCAATCAGCTTGCAACTTTTATGTAGCATTGTTTCAACTATACATTCCACTTGGGGTTCCCTTATTTCTTGTGCCTAGTATATATATTTGGAATTAAAGTTTAGCTGCTGGTTATAATTAAGATAGAATATGTTTGGTTTTTTTACAAATCACCATCATCATTACTGTCATAGGTATTTAAAACAGCTTAAAATCTTTCAGAAACGACAATTTTCTTAAACGGAAAATTGTTTTAATGTTTGAGCTATTTCTCGGGAACCCTTTCCATGATGTTGAATCTAAGTTCAAATTGAGAGATTTACATGGTCAAGACAGATATCCCTTCCGTGCCGTCGATATAACAGTGTTATTATTCTGTTGAAGTGTGTGCTGTGGTAACAAATGTGGTGAGTGCAATTTTTGAGGATTTTATACAGGAAGGTTACGCAACATTTACACAATACGCTGACGCCTCCAATGATTCTTCTATTGTTCGACATTATCAGCAATATTCCAGCAATATGGCGGAGGTCTGGACCAAGACAATCCGGTGATCAACAACATGAGCATGGATCTATGCAATACATGTCATTGTACCCAAATTGCGTAGATCAATGTCAATGCTGTTGGTAACAAGCATCGAGACGGAGACGAGGTCTTCTTGGAGGTTACGTAAAGGGGATTCTAGTGTAAACGAAATGCCAACATGATCTATATCCCTTGTATTTACCTCGAAGAGTCAAATCAATATGCAATATGTGCACGTGTGTCGTTTATACTATGTCTCTGCGTCGATCTTTGGCCATCGTATGACAAATGGGTGGATCCTGGAAACACGTGTGATTGAAGCGTATATAAAAGAATAATTTCGAGATTACCCAAATCCATTTGGTTGTGTTAATGTTTAACTTCGCACAGCGTTGCACCCATCGATATTTCAGATTTATGACGTTGGTCTGTATCATAAGCTGAATATGGACCAGAAATATCACCCCACGCGATTACGATCTCATAAACCCATGCAAAACACTCACAGCCGTAACCCAACAACATGGCATCAGGATTGACAGGATAGCGGAGTCCACTGGTTGTGATAGGCCGCCTCCGGAAGTTCGCGGGTTCGATCCCCGGCGGCCTTATATCAAAAGACGTTAAAATATGGTACCTGTTGGTCCCTGTCCGTCGCTCGGCATTAATGGGTACAAGGACTGGTCGTCTCGGAGTTAGTGAGTCAGTGAGTTAAGATTTAAAATCACATCGGCAATGTTTGAGCCATATCGTGACTAAAACTAGTTCTTAATGCAGAATACATACATATAATATATAAAACCCTGTCAACGAAGGACAGTAAAAGTACTAGATTATCACAAAATGATTTAAAACTAGCTAGATAATATCTTTAAAAGTAGAAAACTATTTTAAGACAATACAATGTGAAAATGGGCTATTTATCGCAAGCATCTGAAGGTAGATCACCATACTAGGAACCATGGGGACTTACGTTACTTTTGCTACCTGCATGGACCCTAGCTGGATTTACACCATCCCTTCAGCCGCTGGCGATTGTAGGACAATTTAGCCGAAATTTAAAAGAACACAAATACTACGTTTAAAAACTTGGTACGTGAAAATTTACTTTGTAAGTTTTTGGGACTTACGTACCCTCTCAGGAGGACAATACTTTACGCTACTTCAACCCCCTTTGAGGATCGGAGTTAGTATAATGTGTCTGAGTGGGGTATTCATGCTTAACTGTGGCATGGTATCTCAGTGAGCTAGCTCTATAATCTGGGCTAGTACAAGCAGCCACACATACACATGTCATATGAGCGAAATATTCTTAAGTGCGACGTTAAACCCCATTTCACCTTACCTCACTGGTTCAAACCGAAGACCCGGGTTCGATTCCCCACCTGGGTACAGTGTGTGGGGGTGTCCCCTGCCGTGATATTGCTGGAATATTGCTAACAGCGGCGTAAAAGTAAACTCACTCACTCACCTCACTGGTTATGATAACAAATTAACTACATTCTATTTTAATGCTGTTCAAAGCGATACGATTTCACTTACAAAGGGATACTATTCATTCCCATTAGTGCGTGGCCAACATCAGCACGCCAGACACAACGACCTACTTGACGGGCTAGACGAGTAGGTCCAGCTTTTAGCAGTTTTATCTTAGTGGAGCTATTCTGAGTGAGTGAGTTTGGTTTTATGTTGCTTTTAGCAATATTTCATAACATCACGGTGGGGGAAACTAGAAATGGGCTTCACACATTGTACTCATCTGGGGCATCGAACCCGGATCTTCGGAGTGACGGGTGAAGGTTTTCTTTGGTCTCATGGTAACCGTGTACGAAGCTGCCTGAAGAACTGGAACCAACCAACGTTAGGCGTGACGTTACACTACGTGAGCCAGACAGAAGATCAGACATAAAGGAGGGGGTAACAATACCTTTATCAATGTTAGTATTGTGTGTAGCAACCATTGGCGCTGATACACTATGTACATTGAAGACATCAGATGAATGAAAACAGCCTGGGGATGTTGTTACTTATGTTCCCCAAAGAAAATGAAAATTTATTACCGGCTGATTCTGGTCCTGTGGATTGCGTCGCTCCATCTGATCCAAGACGTCTTCAAACGCGATCAGGAGAAACAGCCGGTGATGACAAAATCTATTACAATACATACAACATGAGGGTGGGCGTTATCCTACTGCAACGTGCAGTTACATCCCTGAATTTACACAAAAAGGTAGAACATGACCTCGTCGGTGGCATCGTGGTACCGCACGGCATCCAATCTGACAATAACAATGATGAGTTACGATCTCCTTTAAGTGATGCCACCGCATACCATATACTTCCACCACCAAACTCACAACGTTGAGTGACGCACACGTTGCTGAAACATTCTCCATAACTACTCTAGAACCTTGCACTAGATGACATCTGAACCCATCAACAAACAGTATACTGGCCTAGGCCTGTCTCCTGCAATACAGATGACGTGTACACTAAGCTCAGCGTGACTGGCTGTGATGTAGAACGTGGCGTGTCGCTGGACCTGGATCTTTTGCCCACTTTACAGTACTGCCACTAACTGGCTTCAAACCAGGAACTTTCCGAGCTGTTCATGTAGCAGTTTTAGTATCGATTCTGTATATGCACCAATTGACTGTGGTTGTTTTGTTGACGTGACGTTATACGTGGATCAACGGCACAGCTATTTTTCGTACATAACTACCATAGCATTCTTAAATATCAAATCAATGTTCCAAATGTTCAAAGAGTGGATATTTTTATTTGTATCATGCCTAACATGTTGAAACATGTTTAACTGTTTAAGCTGGTGAAAAGACATCACCATTTTCTTTATAGAATCAGGCTATAGAACCTTTTCCTTGATCATAAATATGAAACACCAGGTGTCAATTATCCGATTCAACTCAGCGTACAAGGTAAAATAGCGGTGAAAACCAGTGAAATTCCAGTGATTTCTATAAGGTCGCAGTGTGATCTAAATGGTCGTAGTGAGGCGTGGCTACTGCTAGAACTGTATAATAGGTATATAATTAAAGGGATGATTGCTGAGATGTACGGGGGACCACTACTACTTTGGATTTACGCTCATCTGTCTGCTAAAGACCAGGACCAACCGTTCATCAGGCCTCTCCTACATTGATCTGTCAACAGCTGTCAACAATCTTCATTCAGTGCATCTGTTTACACTGGGAATATCAAGACTTTGGTGAGTTAATATTTTATAGTTGAGACCCAATATTTCAGATTTTTGACTAAATTGTATTGCATTGGAAATCTGTACTCTCATTCATTGTAACTTTGTGTATTGTATATTCGATATATTATTGAATATTATAGACTTGTCTGTGTTCTATTTTGCTTGCCGAAACGGAACTCACAAGACTTTTATCTCAGTAATTTCTAAACCGTAACAATAAGGAGACGTGTTATATTTGTGAGCTGAACGGTGGTATAGGGAGACGTGTTATATTTGTCAGGTGAACGGTGGTATAGGGCGACGTGTTATATTTGTGAGGTGAACGGTACCGGTGGTATAGGGCGACGTGTTATATTTGTGAGGTGAACGGTACCGGTGGTATAGGGAGACGTGTATATTTGTCAGGTGAACGGTGGTATAGGGTGACGTGTTATATTTGTGAGCTGAACGGTGGTATAGGGAGACGTGTTGTATTTGTGAGCTGAACGGTGGTATAGGGAGACGTATTGTATTGTGAGTGGTGGTATGACGTAACGTGCTTTATTTGTGCGTTTAGTGATGGTATGGGGAGTCATGTTATATTTGAGAAGTGAGTGATGGTATTTGGAGTCATGTTATATTTGTGACGTGAGCGGCGGTATCGGGAGACGTATTATGTTTGTCCCGTATGGATCCATGGATGTTTAGTTGGTGTTCAGCTATAACATCTCCACCAAGTGAAATCTAACGCACTATACAGGAATTCACCCCGTCGTGTATCATAATGTCTCATCTCTGTTGATGTGGCTCTGATACGCTTCACTGCAGATACAGGTATGTGAAATGAGGTTTAACGCCAATGTTTAAGATTCCTTCACTTATACTTGCATAATTGTGAATCACTGTTTCTATTAGCCCGTATTTATACATTGTTTGTGTTTTTATGTTTGCACTCAATAGTATATTCCACTCAGACGTCGATGTACACTCCAAGCCAAACTCTGCTTGCTTCATCCCCTCAATGCCGAGCAGCAGAAGCCAGGTAACAAATATATCACACACAAAGCTTTGACTATACAATGCCTTTCAGTAAGTGGTCAAATGTATTGTATTCTATTGGGATAAGATGACATGTATCAACCAGGTCGCCGAGCCTGACCACCCGATCCCTTTAGTCGCCTAACCGTGAAGATTCGGGTTAGAATTGATCTTCACTAACCCATGCTTGTCGTAAGAGGCGACTAACGGGATCGGGTGGCCAGGCTTGCTGACTTGGTTGACACATATCATCGTATCCCAATTGCGTAGATCGATGCTCGTGCTGTTGATCACTGGATTGTCTGGTCCAGATTCGATTACTACAGACCGGCGCCAAATAGCTGTAATATTGCTAAGTGCGGCGCAAAGCTATTCTCAGTCAATCAATCAAAACCGTTAGTCGCCTCTTACAACACGCATGGATTACTGAAGATCAGTTCTAACCCGGATCTTCACGGGTTTTCTACCTAGTACATAATGTCCGTGTTATATCCGTGTTGAGATGGAGTGCGATGAACAGTAAACACACACACACACACACACACACAATGTTATCTAGCACAGCACCATTGAAACAGAAGGACAAAGCGAGATAAATCGATGACATATGTCCATTACCTTTTAATCTTTTTCCTTGTTTACAAAGAATGTATCATATGTTGAGAGGGCAAGCACATAATCCTGGGCCCCGTTTCACAAAGCTACGACGACTGTCGTACCTCCTGTACTGTAACATAGACTTACGATAGCTTTGTGAATCGGGGTCCTGGCCGTTAAAGGGTCAAGCATATCATGTATATCCTGACCTTCAAAGGGTTAAAAGCATAGACAATAGGATGATCATTTGCAGTCATCTATTTGACATAGAAATGTCACGCCGACTGGTAAATTGTGCTTATTAAGAGATTCTCGAGCGTCAGAGGGATGGTATCAAAAGTGAATCCATTTTCATAAGAGTAACAAATTTAGTGTTACCTATGCGCTGTAGAACAATTAAGATTACAGCTTAGAGTCTAACTTTTAGCTTTGTATCTGCTGTCATAACAGCAACAGTTTATTGGTAAATCAAACAGCTTTGAAAATACCTCGTCCATATGGAATGTTGGTGACACCCTCTACTTAAAATAACAGGGATGACTGTAAGATAATCGTTTCTAAACGTTGGTTTCAACGATCTTCATTCATTGTGTGAACTTATTCAGTATCTATTATTCATTTCATAAAACCAGCCTCTGAGAATACACTTGTCAATATTTCTCAATGACCTCAACTGTCTTCTCTGTCAAGGAAGGGCGTAGGGGTAGCCTTGTGATTGAAGGATTCACGTTGAATGCCGTGATAGTGCTGGAACATTGCTAAAAGCGGCGTAAAACCATACTCACTCATTCACTCTTTCAAACAGCTTTCTTTGTAATATTAAATGTTTAAATACATATGTATGTATGTATGTATGTATGTATGTATGTATGTATGTATGTATGTATGTATGTATGTGTATGTATGTATGTATGTATGTATGTATGTATGTATGTATGTATGTATGTATGTATGTATGTATGTATGCACACACGTACGTACATACGTATGTACGATTATCTGCTATTATCGCACTGAAAATCAATGAGTTACAAGCCATACCTACCTGTGTGTATGTGCAGTGTTCATGTATGTATGTCTGTTTCTTTGAGATGCATTTCAGTTGTAAATATGAAGGAAAACCACGCTCTATGGATAGTCAACTTCCTTATCGCCATGAATCCGACGTTTCGGTGTAGATACTAACACCATTATCAAGCAAGTGATGATAGCAGTGATATCACTGGCTTCATAACGGTGTTAGTATCTACACCCAGAGGTCTGAACTTCGTTTTCCTGTTTGGATGTCTGAATGTATGTCTCTCTCTCTCTCTGTATGTGTGTGTTGTTGTTTTTGTACACCCACGCGGCTTCGACTTTATCCATACGAGTTGTTGGTTTGCGTATAAAGGCTTGACTCCTAAAATATTCACTCTAGATCATATGATTATTTTCTATACGTTCAAACCAGTGTCAACAAATGATATCACTGTGTTTGATTTTCAAATTCAACATGCCTTTGAATATAAATTATAAATAGCCTTTTCATTCTACTGTGTATGGTATGTTCAAAGTGCATATTAAGCGGTCACGTGTTCAGCTGCACAGTGTTACAATATTTATAAAAGGCATTTGAGAGGCTCATGCCATGTGCAGTTATTTCTCCAAAACGCGAAAGCAATGACTTTACATTCCATGGGCCATCTTTCGAATATACCACGAAGATATTCCCTTAACTGTATGATGAACAGAGGCAATCCCCAGCGTTCTCCCAGGAGGACGATCATATAATATTAACCTCTGGATAACCAGTCGAGCATAGCTGGGTGACAGTGCACGCCAGGTCACGTTCTTAGCAAGACAAACACTGTGAGCGTATTGTACACCCAGGACTTGACTTCACCCGACGTCTTGTTGACTTGTTGACTTGTTGACTGCAACAGTTAACACAAGAATTTGGTGCAGGACCTTTGATGTGATGGACTGGACGGAGTGATGCATTGTAACGAATCCTGAACATCTGAGAGGGAGACTGGTTCTGACAACAACACCTGGATGTGTTGGATATGTTTGCGGATTGAATAACTTACTTTAAAGTGAGCGACGTGACATGCAAGCCGAACAATTGTGACTTACTAAGTGTACATTGATTCGCAATCTCGATCAACAACAGCTGACAGGGAACCGCGTTATAACGAGGACTGGAAGGAATTTGACGGTAGGCCATGGGGGGAAAGATGGGGTAAGTGTGGTGTTTACAACTCTGACACATTTTAACGGTAGGTAAGATATGTTTATGTACATCTTAGTAACCGATATCTATTTGATACTTGGTTAGGACCGGAATTATACGTATTAACGCCCCAACTACGAATAGTTAGTAATCTTATCAAGATATATATAAGTCAGGGATATCTCAGTTATCTCGCTGTTCGACAATGGACATTGTGGTCATTATTGATAATATATTCATGAGTGCAAGCAGCTTGAACAGTGAGTCTCTAAACATCGCTGATATAGTCTGTTCGTGTGATATACCTGTTGTACAGTGTTCTCTTATGCGTGTTGAGTTACATCAGCGAAGCTGGACAGATGGTGGTTGTACCTTGTAACGACGCGTTTGGTTTTGGGTTGATCAGATGAGTTAAAGATCAAATACAAAAATACTCGTGCACTTCGGTGAATGTGTGTGTGTGCGTGAGGAGTGAGAGAATAGATGAGATGGTGAGTGAGTGAGTGAAGTGGCTATGGTGTGAATGTGTGAGTAGGTGATAGAGAGGAAGGGTGAGTGAGTAGGCGAGTGGATGGGTGAGTGAGTAGGCGAGTGGATGGGTGAGTGAGTAGTTAGGGGAGCGGATGGGTGACTGATTAGATAAGGGAGCGGATGGGTGAGTGAGTAGATAAGGGAGCGGATGGGTGAGTGAGTAGGATGGAGTGAGTAAGGAGTGAGTGGACAGGAGGAGTGGGGAGTGGAGGTGAGTGGAAGGACAAGGAGTGGATGGTGGTGAGGATGGAAGGAGTGGAGTAGGACAAGGAGTGGATGGGAGGAGTAGAGTGGAAGGTGAGGATGAGGACAGAAGGAGTGGACATGGAGTGGTGGAAGTGAGTAGATAGTGGAGTGGATGTGGAGGTGGACAAGGAGAGACAAGGAGTGGTGGATGATGGAGTGGATGGTGGAGGAGGAAGGGTGGAGTGGAGTGGTGGAGTGGAGGGAGTGGATTAAATAAAGGAGTGGAGGAGTGGAAGGAATGACCAACTTGGACACAGACGAAAGGAAGGAATGGATGGAGTGAACCACAACGGACCAAGGAAACACATGGAATAATGGACAAGGGAAGAGACACAAAACAGTGGACAGTAACGGCATGGCCAGAGCAGTGGACCACACAACTGGATGGAACTGGAAACCCACACTTAAGATGTGGGTCACGGATAACTATGGAACTGCCATGATCATCTTTCTGTTTTACATAATGATGGAATAAAAAATACGAGGGGCTTTATGGTTCAAACTAATGTTGCACTTAGCCCCACAGCAAATCACTTTATAACGATTGGTCCTGTGTCATGTACGTAACTGCGAGAATGCATGCGGCGTTAATTAGCTTACAGAACAGCATTCTGTAATCTGGTATTTATTCAAACGCAGTTCTGAGAGAATGGCTACGTTACATAACCTCCATACTTTTATTCGCTGAAAGTCATATTTGTTGTTTTTGACCATTAAATGTCAACATTTTCGTTTCGCGATGGAAAGGGCGCGTACAAAGGAAGTCCTACGGTGATTAGTCATATAGCACCAAACCTCAAATGTATCCTGCTATGCTTATGTGTATTAATTAACATATGTACATATGATAAGATTATTTTTAAAAAACGCGGTAAAGCATACAATATTCTACCGATCATTAAACCGAAATTCTTGGAAGGAATGCCTTTGAATCTGTTTAAATGATTCATTTCTAGATTGCTATTGCACATGGTATTCTATACTGAGGGAAACAAATAAGGGAACACCACTTCATGGCAGCGTTCCTTTATTTATTCCCAGATTTCCCCCCACAGCGCTATTCAAACCTGGTGATGAAAACTGGAAAATATTAAACGAACACTTAAATTTTCCTGCGTTACTTTATTTGTTTCTCCAGCGTTATGGACTCGATACTTAAACGTGGCTTACGAATCGTCTGACCTATTTGCTTTATCAGAACGCTTTGTGGATAGAGTCCCTGAACAGATAAAACAATGCATAGCATAACAGGAAATGGTGAAAATGTTTTGTTTAATTGCAAGTTTCCTATTTCCATCCATAAAGTCTTTTGTTTCTTCACCTCCGACGATACGAGGTAGTTTTGACACGGCACAATACATATACTACGCACTAGAAAGTATATTACTTGGCCCACATTCCACTTAATGTATAACGCGCCAGTGTTATGACGCAGACGGTCATCCATCGATCCCGAAAACCGCGTTGTGGCGAGGGATGACGGAAATTGAAAGATCTTTACGGTTTCTTCAGGCTTTTACATCTCTCACTAGTATTTTATTCACACAGCCCAGTGGGATTAATCGTATGAGCATGCCAGAAATGGCTATAATAATAACTTCAGTTCCAAGTCACACTGAGTGTCTGGGCTGCGTGTAAAGAGAACGACTGCCATGAGCTGGCGATTAATCTAACCAGTCTGATTGTACCAGGAGCACTGAACCGTCTTTTCTGCACTCACTCATCATAATCTGCAAATGATGATCGTAATAATGATAATGATACGACCGGTACAAATATATTTTCTATATTTTTAGAGATAATACATGAGGTATGCATGATGTAAGTAATGATGTATATGCGTTGTACAGGACAAAACCCCATTAAAACATAAAATATATATAAATAAAATAAAATACAGAAAATAAAATAAAAACTACTACATATACGCACATGGCAGCAATATCTATTCATCTGTTTTATCTCTCCATAACTCCATCCCTCGTCTCACAATCCCATAAGTTCCGATCATCACAAACAGGACTGTTTTCACCAAGGCCCTAAAGGCAACCAAATCAATACCCACGCACTATACATCGTCGTAATGACTACGGCTTCAGCATCCTCTGGTTCCAGCTGCACACTGTACTACAATGGTTGTATTAGCAGTATCAATTATTCCCTCTGGCGGCAGCCGAACAGCTGTACAATGCGGCGCTTGTACAATATAGGTAACGCTAGCACGGCGTCCTGCGTGTATTGCCAATACTTCAGTGAGCGTCTACAGTCGCAGTCCGCTTGTTTCAGTAAGTACTATAAACTTCATCTCAATCTCCCAAATACGTCTAAATAAGGTCGTATTATCAAATGAATGACCAATGTCTTAAATGATGCAATTAAATTTGTGTCTGCCGATGCCTGTGGATTGTCTGTGTTTTCGCATATGTCTTATTTCTGGCCACAATCGCTCAAGCTAGCCAAATGCTGATATATGTTATGTTGTAGCTGCGTTATGCCTAGATGCATGTTAGAAAGTCCATGTGGCCGTGAGTGAGTGAGGTGTTTACGTTTGTAGCTGCATGTATGTAATCTGTAAACTTGCAGCAGTCCATTGTGTTGACGCTTGTTGGTTTCCTTTAGGCTTGAAGGACGTTAATGCGTAGATTCGATCATAAAAACTCTTGTCATGATAATACATCCCTACCTCACATGCATATAAATTAGCATGCGATGACATTTTATGACAGGACCTATATTTGAACATTGTACGAGTGTGTTGACAATGTAACTCTAAACCAGAATGAGGGTGTTAAATGACACACATTATCCACATTGTAGTCAACGAATCGATATACTTGACATTCTCGGTTTAGATAACGGACTTCACCTGTTACCACTGTCAGTGAACGGAGCGTGAGTGAGTGAGTGAGTGAGTGCGTGAGTACGGGTTTACGCCGCTTATAGCAATATTCTAGAAATATCATACCAGCAATATCACGGTGGGGGACACCAGAAATGGGCTTCACACATTGTTCCTTGTGAGGAGTCAGACCCTTGACCGGAGTATTAGTACGTATGCGTATTTATAAGTCGCCCTCGCACACCTAAAGTAGGAAGGAATGCCACTATGTAGCTGGAGTGAGTGAGGTTAGTTTTACGCTGCTTTTAGCAATATTCCAGAAATGGGCTTCACACATTGTACCCATGTGGGGAACTCGGGTCGTCGGCGTGACCCCACCACCCTTATATAGCTGGAATATTGCTGAGTGCGGCGTTAAACAAATAACAAAAGTAAGGAATGTGGGGTCTTTTTGTTTGACATCAGTTGTTTTTTGTGATGAGAAGGAGCTCAATTATATTTTCCAACATGAACAGATGCTGTTATGATTTTAGACAATCAGATATATCGACATTTAAATACACGACAATGCAAAGTATAATGTTATTTTTCAATAAAGCACGGGCTTGATTATTTCTTCTTTGAGTGGGAATGACTGCTATGCGCCGATGATGAACCTAACCAGTCTGATTGTACCAGGAGCACCGAACCGTCTATTCTGCATTCACTTATCATAATCTGCAAATGGTGACAGTAACAATGATAATGATACGACTGGAACATATATTTAACGAAGGATTACACAGGGTTCAAACTCTACATCGCAAATATACCATATGTCACAGGATAGAAGTTGAGAAGTACAATATTGACAAACTTTATGGATAACAACTTCTTCTATTTCGTGAGTGCGACGTTTCAGATTCTTGTACCGTTGTCACGCAGGTTCATATAGAATCCGTCCTCCTCAAAATAAAATGTTATTTCTTTTTTTTTTATAGAAGTAGTCAATGTGAATGATCCAAACGGTCTATCACTGTGCAGTGCACAGGTAACTATCATGAACTGCACGTGCATTTACCTTTATGACTCAACACTGCCGCTGTTACAGGTCATAGGCTCCCTCCCTCTGCAAGCAGTCTGCGGTCTGCTGTTTATTTTGTTGACAGTTACATAGACAGATTCTTTAATACAAATGCATAAAATCGGTGATTTACAATGTGATTAGGTTGTCTGACAAAACATCCACTTGCACAGTTTGAGATCGATTGGGTCATTGGATGAAGAGATATTTACAAAAAAAACGGGTCCACATGCATTTCATGCCAAACTATAGTCTTCCTAATGTGAACATTTTCCATTTTAGGAAGTCGGAATGTCCGGATTAACAAGGTTACATTTTAACCCAAAACACACATCTCCAGCCAGATCAGCACTGCTTGCTCGGTTTACTCCCATAAGAACTACATCCAATTTGAACTACATCCCAAATTAACTACAGGGATTAATTAGGGATTAATTATCTGAGTAGATGCACCCCCCATGGCATATAATGAGCACAGCCCATCAGCTCTCCCAGAAGAACTACATGCTTTAACTCCTATTGACCAGTAATTATGTTGTTGTAAAGGTAATCTAATAACCAGAAAATAAAGGACAAGAGAGAAGGGTATGTTGTAGTTAGTGAATGTTCTTGTATTCATATGATAGAAAAAAACGAGCCAAGCTTAGTATAATAGAGTAAAGGTAAAGGTATATTGGAGTAAAGGTATATTGGAGTAAAGGCGAAATATACACGAATGAGTTTTTAAGTTAAAATAGTATTGTTATAGACTGCAATCCAGTACCTCGATGCAGTTGGCTACTTATTGAAGCTGGGCTATACTAGTTCTACATGGATCAGATTGAACACTGAGGATGAAAGCGACACTAAATTATCACACTAAATATATAAGCCTATCTATAGATGAACTATCTATACATATATATATAAAACTCCAGACTTTATCTGCACAAAATATTTCGCCGATCAACGGCTCTTCATGTGTACAATGAAAACTAAGTGTCATCATAGGCGACGCATAACGGTAGTAGCTATGTCGTCATCATGCGTGTGATGTTACAGTTAGTGACAATAGGTAATATGTAACAGATATATAAGACATATCTTCTTAGGTAGTTGAAAATGCTGTTCATAAAGCAGTAAAAGTCCCTAGAGTGATACTTAAACAAAAGAAACAAATACAGAGATGGACATTCTTCCATTTGTTTGTACCTACAATCCTAATAACTGTACAATTATGCCCATTATAAAATCAAATCTTCCAGTTTTGTATAAAAGTGACACTATGTAAAAAGGTTTATCGGTCAGTGTAACAAAATGTCAAACATCTCGATGTGGAACTTGTTCAATCATAACTGAAGACTGCAAATTTACATTTTGTGAAGGCAAACTATTTACTATCAAAACCAACATGAACTGCCGCAGCTAAAATGTTATATATGTTTTATTTGTTTTCTGTTGGGCAAATCCATTAAGCAGACGCAGGTGACAGCATGTAGTTAATCTGTGCACTGGACCATAACATGTGTGTTTTAAGCTGTAGTTCTTATAGGATGTAGTTCTTATGGGAGGACACCGTTTGCTCTACCGTTATCTCCATAGCAACCATGTTATACAATGCTGTACATGAGTGTAACGATACGCTTCAGGTGTGCTCGAACTTAATTATGAATGTCGCGTGGCAATTGATACGGTTCTGAAACCAGCATCCACACAATGGTTGGACAAAAGGCATACACCATGACAACAAACATGTTCAGTCATCACTTCTGTCCTCAATACGAAGTTGTTGAAGACTTCTCGGGAGTTATCTCCCTTCCTCTAACAGCGTCAACAACAGTTACAATACGCGCCTCGGGTGAAATCGGAGTCACAAATGTTGTCCTCACTTTACGGATATATTTTACGGATTCCTAACAGATACATATATTCAGGCCCTACTCATTGTTTAAAAGACGGACGGTGTAACAAAGTAGTTGAAGCCGTCGCCCGTAACGCCAAGGTCCGATTCCCCCACATGGGTACAATCGGTACAGCACATGTTTTGCTATCTTTCACGTCATATTGCCGGATTATTGCTTAAAACGGATAAAACTACACTCACGCATTTTACTCACCCATTGGTACTAACAACGTATAATAATTTAAATATTTATCATGGTACGTGGAATTTAGTTATAAACAACCAGCTGAATTTAGACCGGATCAAATTACACGCTTATTCACAGCTGATATGCGAAAAGCAATACACTATATTTATAAACCGTGTTTGAGAAAAGCAGGATTTATGGATGTCAGTCCTGATGAAGGAGCAAGCATACACTCCGAAACGTCGTGTTATTCACGATAAAGAAGTGTACATCCAAAAATATTGCTTTTCTTATGCATTCCACTTCTAAATGCCCTTCAAAGATTTAAACCGTGTTTGGTATCTTTGTCATTTCCTGGAGGCTGACGTTCGCAAGCAGGGTGCCTTAGGAGCTGTGCTATGAACAGC